TCAATGTCGATGTCTTCATCGTCGTCGACGAAGAACTCGCTTTCATCACCCGAGCTCAGCAGATCGTTTCCTGTGGAAATGTCGACCGCCTCGCTCATTGTCAAGGCGTAGGCTCGCGAAGGTGTCTTTGGAGAAGGGGACTTTCTTGGTGTCTTCGCTGAAGACTTGGCTGGCGACTTGGCGGGCACACGTGCCGGTGCTTTGGCAGGAGCGCGTGCTGGCGTCTTGGCGGGCGCTCGTGCCGGACTGCAGGCTTTTGCAGCAGGCTTCGGTACAGGTCTAGCAGACTTTCCCGGCGCCCTTGTTTCGTGTGCTTGCCGCTTGTTGGTAGGTGCGTCGTCGGATGATTCATTTGTGGCAAGCTCTTCATCCAGTATGTCGTCCAGCACTGTAATACACGCATTAGCAAGCCGCACACTTGTTCGCCACTGTGTAGTACATACCCTTTTCCGGCAAATGCTGCCAAATTTCGTCGGGGCCGTCGAAATAGTCGACCAAATGCTGTCCTTGTCCGCGCTTCTTCCAGCCTTCCGGCGTGAAGAATCGACATTCGGTTTGAAGTCCTTTCGGTGGCTCGTGCATCCAGCCGCACTTCTTCAACTTTGACCACAGCTGTGGCCACGTTAGCTTTTTCCCACACCGCCGTTTCGCCATTGCTCTTTTCACCGGAGGGGGGGGGGGGGGGGGATTCTGAAATGAGCGCGAAAATCGCGCGCGCAGAATGTCTAAAATTCAGCGGACGAGCGCCATGAATTATATGCCCCAAGGTTAGCTACAACTCTGTGAATCTTGAGATGTGCACCCATCATTTGATGTTTGTAAACTTTTACTTGATTAAAGTATCGCTCAATTTGACCAAATTCTTTAGTTACAGGATAAGCAAAATTACTATCCTGTATAATACAGGCGACGGGGCTAAAGGGGTTAAACGTACCCTTAATTGAGTACTTCGTCCCCTTCAGACCAGGGACACGTGAACTGTCGTTCATTTAGAGTTTGTATACTCTTGGAAGTCAACTTCCTCTGCACAAGGTGCTGTGTGACCCCGTCACATGCAGTTCCTCGCGGTGGTTAAAATGGATATGCTTCTAGATATCACCAGTACTGCAATAGTACTAAAGTCGAGTTACTGTAGTAATAGTAGTATTACTTCAGTACTGTTTTCTACTGGCGACCGAAATTACCGCAGACCCCCAGACGTCACATCTTCAGCTGGCGATCACCAATCGGACAAGTTATCATCGCTGCGTGGATGCACCTGGCAGTCGTTATCACACTCATCTACTAGATGAACTAGACTAGAGCTTCTTCAACTTGCGGGAATCAGTACCTATCGGCACTTTTGGTTTTCACTTCAGAAGTTGCCACCTCCTGACCAAACAAGATGGGGCTGCTCTATCGCCTCGGACTTGCGACGGCGGTAGTTGCTCTGCTTTCTAGACCCACAACTGCCTCCGAGCCGCGCTGCTTTCCAACTGATTTCCTCTTTGGGTCGGCTACGGCATCCTATCAGGTGGAAGGTGCCTGGAGTGAGGATGGCCGCACGCCGAGTATATGGGACGATTTCTGCCGCCAGCAGCCTGGATTCCAGTGTGCCAATGTCGCCAACGACTTCTACCATCGCTACGCAGACGACATCAAGCTCATGGTGGAGACAGGGCTGCAGTCCTTCCGCTTCTCCGTGTCGTGGTCGCGCGTGATGAATTGGGACCCGGAAACTCGCCGCATGCAGCGGAACGCCCCCGGTCTGGTCTTCTACCACGCGCTGCTGGATAAACTGATCGAAAACGGCATCTCCCCGATTCTCACGATCTACCATTGGGACCTGCCCACGGAGCTGCACAACGAGCTGGCTCCGCAAGGCTGGGAGAATCCTGACATCATCGACCACTTCGTGCAGTATTCGACACTGCTCTACCATGAGTTTGGCGACAAAGTGGACTTCTGGACGACATTCAACGAGCCTCTGTCGTTCGTTGTGTACGGCTACAACACGGGCCTGCATCCGCCAGGCTTCCACGACTCCGCCACACTAGTCTACAAGGTGGCGCACAACGTCTTGCTGTCGCACGGATACGCAGTGCAGAAGTTCCGCGAGCTCAAGTCCGGCGGCGTCATCCAGTCCAAGGCTCGCATTGGCATCGTTCTCAACGCTAACCAGTTCTATCCGGTCGATGCCAACAATCCGAGCGACGTGGAGGCAACGGAGCGCGCGATGAATTTTGAGTTCGGTTGGTGGCTCCTACCGATCACCACAGGCGACTACCCTGCTGTGATGCGCGAGCGCGTTGGTGACCGTCTCCCCCGCTTCACAGCGGACGAGGCTGCTATTCTCAAGGGCTCTTACGACGTGTTCATGCTCAACCACTACTTCTCACGGGCCGTCACGGATTGCGACTCAGAGGCATCCAGCACTCCATGTTTTTCGCTCCACGTAGGCTTCGGCCAGGACAAGGGTGTCGACGACTCTCAACTCGTGCCAGGCTCACGCCCGGGACTACAGGACAGCAAGGGCAACAATTACTGCAAGTCGTACACGGCCTACCCACCCGGATACTTGGACACGATCAAGTGGATGCACGCCAAGGACCCGTCGGCAAAGATCCTGCTAACTGAGAATGGCTGGTGTGGAGATGATGAAGTGGACAATTGGACGCAGCTCTGGTTTTTCCAATCGTACACTGAGCAGGTCTACAAAGCTGTCGTCGAGGAGAAGATCCCAGTGATCGGCTATACGGCGTGGAGTTTTCTGGACAACTACGAGTGGGGCTCGTATGGCCCCCGATTCGGCTTGTACTATGTGAATTTCACGGAGGAGACGGGATCACCGGACTTTGAGAAACCCAAGCCGACGGACTTGCAGCGCATCGCACGTCCGTCCGCCAAGTGGCTCAGTAAGGTGGCGTCCACGGGATGTCTGGACGAGTTGCCACATAAACAGGAGACCGCTGCCGTTATCATGCGTGCTGCAGCGAGAGAGGAGCCCTCGGTGATCACTGGGGCGGCATTTTCTATCGAGCTGTTCGTTGGCGCAGTGGCCGCAGCCGTCGGTACTGTCGTGCTCGCAGCCGCAACGTGGCGACGTCGTCAGGGATACTCGGTCATCCCACGCCTCTCCACCATCTGATTCGATCAACAGCCTACCTACTAGACACCAATGAGTCCACATCGTTATGCTTCGTTTCACTAAGAAATAAAAGCTTCACCCGTCAAAGATGTTGAAGATTGAAGTGATAAACTCCGCCTAAATCCCAAAAAAACAACAAACCCAAACTGACATGAGGATGCAGCTCAAGGTGTCATGCGTGAATCATGCAGCGCTCGTGAACGGCTACTACATGGGGAAGCTATCGCTGCGGGAGGACTCACTGCAGGTCCCATCGGCTTCGTTCATTCGACCGACCTCTGCAAATACCTCGGCGGAAGTATCGGCAGCTGCAGCGCGTCGGCAGCGAAAGCGGGAGACAGCATCTCGAAGGCGGGCTGAACGACTGGAGGAGCTCACATCACAAGGCAAGTTTGTCCCATTGAGTGATCGGGTCCGAAACGCATTAGAAAATGCGTACAAGCACTTTGGAGGTGCTCGATTTGTGCTGCGAGACTTCTATCCAAACTTTCCTGCCGGGGCTGACGCACTCCCAGATGTGATCAAGACGCTACAGGAGATGCCAAGTACAGAAGGTCTCGACGACGGTAGCATCCATCGCAATGAAACCGATTGTTTGCAGGTTGCTACAGTGAACGATGCCCAGGTCGTGCTACCGGCCGGATCGAGTTTCGCTCAGCGAGACGTACGGACTCTCCATCAACTTGCACTCGGACAGCACAAGCTGATCCTGATGGACCCACCATGGCAGAACAAGAGCGTTTCTCGCGGGAAGCGCTACAATACATTTGACCACACAGACCTCTTAAGGATTAATATCCCACACATCGCAGACCCGAATGAGTGCATCCTAGCGGTGTGGGTGACGAACCGGCCGCGATACATGACGTATCTTCGTGAGCAAGCGCTGCCCTCGTGGGGCTTCACTTACCACGCGTGTTGGTACTGGCTCAAGCTAAGCAAAAACGGAGAGCTGGTTACTCCACTGGACTCGACACATCGCCTGCCAGTCGAAACATTGCTTGTTGCCTACCGCGCCAAGGACCAAAAGCATGAGCAGCTACTGCGACGGCGACTTGGTGAGAAGATGCGAATCGTAGTGAGCATTCCACTGCGCCATTCGTGGAAGCCACCACCGGAATGCTTCTTCGACAAGGACATCATGTCTACGTCCCACAGAAAAGTGGAGCTATTCGCTCGCGAACTGCGGCCACATTGGACTAGCATAGGAAATGAGGTATGCTTCCCGTCGACAAGGTACTTGCTTGTATTTTCCTTCGGTTTTCTTAACAATCTCTTTCCATGGTACATGTAGGTGCTCAAGTTCCAGGTTTCGAACTTATTCGGGTCAACTCTACAGCACGACCAACCTTTTATTAATAGTACTAGTAGTCTGTAGAAACCGCGTTGTGCTTAAACATGTAGTACAACTAGTAGTAAAATGCTAAAATGATGAACAATGATATGTTCACACAGTGACTTGTGCCTGCTCGGCAACATTTCTGCTGCCGCCTTCTTCATGGGGAGAAGGATCTGCACGCCCAGAGCGTCCCTGCGCGAGATTTGTGTCCCAAAGATTCGGCTTCTACTGCTCACGGGGAGAGAACGGCGAGAATTTGACACTTTGGTTGCAACAAAAACGCAAGTTCTGATAGCTGAAAGGCTCAGGTAATGAGATTCCACTATAAACTATCTTCAGGCGGTGAGGACACTACATCCCCACTACGTCTCAGATGTCCCTATAGCATTCGTCACTGCCTTTCATTGGTAAGGTACACATCCACAAAAGCAAACTCGGTTGAGGCCGTCTCAGTGATCTTGGTGATAAATAAATGTCGTCACAATACCCAAAGGCATGTCAAGAGTAGCAAATATTTTTGATACATCATCGACAGGCACCCAAATACACACGCAATATACAACTAGGCGGTCTCATCATACAAATGCCTCGAATGTTCTTCACATTGGGAGTCCGAGTCGTCTCGGAGCACGGCAGAACGCAATGCAATAAGACGCTCGTTGTCCTCAGACTCGTCATCTGATTGTGTAATCACTTGAGAAACCCTGGTAGAAAAAAAACCACGTCCATGTGAGCCACACGCTCCTAATACGCTTCCTGTTCTTGACTGCTGGTGACCCTTGCAAGTTGTTGAATGGCTCGGCAACTGTGCGTCGGAGCTGCTCGCCAATCGGTTGGTCGCCGTCAAAGTACTTGTAAAAACGCGTAATTACGCAGAATCATAATTGGAAGTTTTGACGAATTAGATTCTGTACCCTCATTGATTGGCTGAAAATTCTAAGATTGACTTCAAGGCAGCCTGATGAGCAGGAATGCTTGACGTATCCACATCTAGCCTCGTGCGACTTCGCGATGAGCAAGAGAGAGCAACAGCTCGAAGCTGAGTGCGAAGATCTGCGCTGGTGAATACTTCTTGATGTCAATTGGAGGATTCCAGAATCTTGAGGCTGGATCTGTTGTTGCTGCGATGTAGTGAGCTGCAGGTGATGGAAGAGCTCGTCCAGCGGTACCAAGACGAGCTCGCGGCTGTTCGGAACGCGAACTGTTTCCGGCATAACCCCAGAAACGCCCCGGACGTGTATCGCGTCGAGGAGGAGCTATTTGAGAACCAGAATCTGGCGTCGAGGGGCTCCGCCATGCGCATTTCGAGGGTGGAGTTGCCAGTGCTGTGTCGAGCCAACGGCGAGGAAACGCGGTTTAGCGAGGTGCTGTAAATACATGCAGGTATTAATAGGTGGTTCACGGTAAATGACGTTGAATGTGTTGCGTGTGTGAGCAGGTGGAGTTGCCGTCGCAAAACTGGGAGTGGGTATCCGATTGGCATTGCGATGTCCATGCTCAGACGGACGAGAGCGGGTGGATGTACGCAGAGTCGTGGGAGCAACTGCGAGATATCAATCAGCTTCACCGAAGGTGAGAATGCGTGTGTTCATTGCAATCAGGGGTAATGCGTGAGATTGGTGACCCTCATGTCTGCAGTGAGCACACCATGAGTGCACGAGTGCGGCAGCGTCGGTGGAAACGGGAGCGAATGCTGGCTCGGTGTACAGGTTTACCTGCTGCACTAAACGAGAATCTGCTGACGAAAAGCAGACTAGCTGCTGTGGTGCGTCGATCGATTCGAGCTTGCCATGGTTCTGTTAGCTGTCGTTCATTGATTTGTCTTGCTGTGTACATGTAGCGCTTTGCCAACGAGAAGCTAACGCAACAGGTTGCGTAAGCTATTATTATTGAACATTGTGTCATGAGAATTTACAAAGGCTTTTGTATCACAGCTTCTCCGCGCAAACACGCGCATTGAAGAACTTGAAAAACGAGACAAAATCTACGAAGCGCATATGCTCAAACTTCAGCAAGTTGCGGAAGAGCTGTCGAGCGACCTGTACGCACGATCCTTCGATCTGCACGACCCTGTAGCGGTACCATACACCGTTTCCAAGAGCGCCGAGGTGTTAAAGCAGACAGAGGCACTTCTGGGTGACATGCTGATGGAGCAGGGGCTCGCGCGTTTGGACACTCTGGCTGTTACGAGCGAGGTGCAGCGTCGGAGATCTGAAATTTTGGCTGCGTGCGAGAACGAGCTCCAGAATACGATGGATGAGTTCAACGACCTTGCGCGCACACTGGAGCGGCGACAGACGCCACCTCCCAAGCAGTAGCAGTATCTATGAGCAAGTGGTTGAAGTGATGTAGGTATCTTAATTCAGTTCATTTAATTCAACAGTAGTAAAATTTATTGACCAATCAGAATCGTTCGCGCTTTTTCACAAGTCTTTATTGCGCGCGTGAAGCACCAAGCACCGACAGGAGCGACCATGACGGACGCGGACGTCTACGCGTACGAGCAGGAGTTCAATGAGATGGACGAGTGGGAGGCCATGCATGCGCACGAGATGGAGGCTGCGGAGGAAGAGATGCGCGCCATGGAGGCCTTTGAGCGTCGGCAGGAAGCGGAGAGCCAACTAGAGCAGCCCAATGCCTCACTGCCACCTCCAACCAGTGATACTGGTAACGCTGTAGAGAGACCGGATGATGGTCTTGAGAAGGCACAGAATCGCTTAGACCAAGTACTGGCTCGATGTGCTACGCTATTGGGCGAGGATGGCGATGACGACGTGACCATGGACATTGCTGCCCAACAGAGACCCGAGCACAATGTACGCAAGGAGAAACAGAACGCTGTTGCGAAAGTTGACATGATGACAGCTGAGTATCTGTACAGTCGACCACCAATTGATGTGGATTCGCTTCCCGTAGTACTGGATGATGACAAGCGGATGTTCCTACGTAAGAAGCGACCCAGCTCCAAGCATATCACCTCTAGCCATGTTCGTAGTGCAGCGTCGTCACTCGTCCCCATCAAGGGATTAATGGAAACAGTCGAGCGGGTAAGCTGGCTCAGAATCTAGTTGCAATTAAGGTAGAATAGATATATCTAACGATTTTGTGTTAATCAGATGGAGATCGAAGAAGCAGCTGCAAAGGAGGACGAGGCCATGTTGCAGGAGCTAGAACGACTTAATAATGACGAGCTCCGTGCGTCGAATGCAGTGTTGTGGTTGGACAAGTACAGGCCACAGAGCTTCTTGGATCTATTGAGCGACGAGCGAATCAACCGTGAAGTGCTGTCTTGGATCAAGTCGTGGGATCGATTTGTGTTTCCAAAGAAGAAACGACCTAACGGGGTTCACCCAGTACCACCTGCCAAGACGAACGCTAATAAGGCTCCGTGGAACCAGGAACTTTCACAGAATCCATCTAATGGCAATGCCGTGGAGGACGACGAAGATAAACGCCCGTTCAACAAGATCATCCTCATCTGCGGTCCTCCTGGAGCAGGTAAAACGACGTTGGCCAACATTGTTGCACGTCATGCTGGCTACAATCCTATCGAAGTGAATGCGAGTGATGACCGCACAGCATCTGTGCTGCGTAACAAGATCATCAGCGCTATGGAGATGCAGTCCATATGGGGCGAACGCAAACCCAACTGCATCATTCTGGACGAAATCGATGGTGCCATGAATGGCAGTGACGGGAAATCTGCGATCGAAGTCATTCAAGAGATCGTCAATGCGCCTCTGCAACGGAAGAAAGCAGCTGCAAAGACTGCGGCCAAAAACCGCCACCCGTTGACTCGCCCACTGATCTGCATCTGCAATGACCTATACGCTTCTGTGTTGCGTCCACTGCGTCAAATGGCTAAGATCTTCACACTGGATGCACCACACTCTCAACGTCTCGTGACACGTCTGAAATACATCTGTCGTCACGAAGGTATTAAGGCTTCTACAGGTGTACTAGCAACTCTGTGCTCAAGTGCTGACAACGATATCCGCTATTGTCTTAACACACTTCAGTTCCAGACTACCCAGTCACGTGGCAAGTCGGCGGTGGTGACTCTGAGTACTGGACTCGTTGCTCATAAAGACCACGTTCACGGCATGTTCGAAGCGCTGGATCTCGTGTTTTACGAGGCGCGTTCGAAATCTGCTAAAGGAGACGTCCCTGTGACTGAGAAGATCGATGAAGCTGCTGCGTCGCTGGGAAACTTCCCTCTACTGATCAACGGTTTGGACGAGAACGTGCCCAAGATGATCTTCAATGACCCCACAATGAACAAGATCTGCGACGTCTTCGAGTGGCTTGGACTTGCAGATGAGTACGAATATCGCGCTCGCTCTGAACAGCAGTACGCTTTCCAGGCTTACATTCCATTTGCTGCCATTGCGACGCATGCGGCGTGTTGCACAAGTTCCAGACGTCGAGTGGAGTACCCACGTGCGCAGTTCGAGGCTCAAAAACGACGGGATCGCTCTGAGAATATCCTTACAGCACTGACAGAGGGAGCGCAGTTGCAGCCAATCTTGCGCATGAGCACCAGCGTCCTCGTCGTGGATGTGATTCCATGGCTGGTTGCGAGTCTATCTCCCAACATTCGTCGTATCAATCTGTCGCTGCAGACTAAGGAAGAGAAGCTGATGATTCAGCGGCTCATTCAGTTGATGGCGTCTCTGGGACTGTCGTTCCGTCACAAATATCGACCCGACGGCAGCGAAGACTACGCGCTCGAGCCGTACGTACGCATCCTCTTTCGCTTCTTATTTATCGTCTCTCACCATATTGTTCTCTTGTCTGTTTAGTGCGCTGAATGAACTGGTGGAGTTCCGAAGTAGTGAAGGTGGTGCAGCGTATCAATCCATGCTGCCGATGGCAGTGCGCAAGATGATAGCTCGCGAGGTGGAGCTTGAGCAGATGCGTCGGAATGAAAAATCGTCCCCATCAACTAAGCAGAACAACAGCAAGGCATCGACCGTGAAAGTCGACAAATCCAGCGAAGCCACCATAGAAGAGAAGGCTGCAAAGGCCGCCTATGTGCTGCCAGAGCTCAGCGGTACGTTTTTTAATCGATTGTGGTGTGAAAGTGTCTACCTCTTGCTCACTTATTACGGCTCTATGAACTACAGAGGCGGAGCTGGCGAAGAAGGACGAGGCTCTGCGCAAGCGTAACCCGTTCGCATTCGCTCATCGTGAGGCCAAACGAAAACGCGACGAGGAGCTGAACGCCAAGTTCAAGCAACAGCGCACGAACGATGCGCATGCACACTCAATGGTGCGCTACAAGTTTAACGAAGGCTACACGTGCGGCATCAAGACAGCAGTGTACGTCCGTGATTTATTATGAAACCACTGACCGGTCGACCGTAATACAAGTTCTCTTCTAGCCTCATGCGTCTCTACTTCTTTCCCTTCTTTTTCTTCTTGGATTTCTTCTTCTCCGCTTGCGCCGCAGCAACCGGTGCGCCAGTGGGTTTCGAGGTGGGGGACAATGGCGCCGTCGACGGCGGCAGCAGCAGCGTCTTCATGGGCCCTAGAACCTCTTGCATTACGAATCGCAGCAGCCTCGTCAGTCGGAACAGGTTGCTCGTGTCCGTCGTGGTGTATTTGACCGCTTCATTGCGTCCGGCGGCGCTGCGAGGCGACGCAGGTGTGGGTTTGGTAGAGTGGTGCGACACCCGCGCTACCACTTTCACGCCCTTCTTGGCCGTCACACGCGTCTTAAGGAAGAAGCGTGAATTCAGAGGATCCCCCACGAACGCCAACTTGGTCTGCTCCTCGAAGCGCTCCCAACTCACATTACCCTGGCCTGCCATCGTTGCTTGGATATCTACCGAAGCGCTTGATCGTAATGCAATTGAACTGGACAGCTATGGCGTGTGATTGGCGGATATTCTCGGTAACGGTTATTTTTAGCTGGTCGTAACTTCAACTTCGATGAGCGCTATTCGCATTTCGACCAAAATGACGATGGAGGTGCAAGGCGCGGGTATGGGCCTTGATAAGCAACGAATATTCTGTATTATGGGTCATTGCGGATGAATTGATCATGGCGTGTCTGATTGGGTATGGGCAGGAGCGTGTGATGAGGTGCTTGCGCTTAAGCAGTTTCTACAGGTCAGGTTTTGACAAAGATTGAGCGGAAACTTGGCATTCTCTCATTTGTTTTACCAATGTGCTTGTTGCTGCAGGGGATGCTGCTTGCCGATCATGATGGACATTATGAACCTTCGTTGCCGGAGCCAAGAAAGGGTGTGATCCAGAATGACATATTGCTGGAGCATATGGGAGTCCCGATGTCTGATGCGAGTTCCAGTGGTTGCTCGGCGTATTCACTGGATGACGAGCGGCCTGCTGCAGTAGTGCCACTGCATATATTGTCGCCGCAACAGCATCAGCAGCAGAATACTTGCCACCCTGTTCATGTCAACGAGTTGGACGTAGTGAACCATGATCGTTTTGATGCAGAGGACTTATTGGGTAATGATCAGAACGAGGTGGAAGATGATACATGTAACCCCCATCAGGAAGACCAATTCTCTCGCTCGTATGTGAACAAAACGTCCACGAAGCTTCTGAGAAGAAGTACTACCTTCGAGCCAGACTTTCAAACGCGTATGAAGCAGTTCTTGCTGAAAAACCAGCAGAAGAAAGAGAGAATCCGCCAGTCGTTGAAGGTTCATGATGAGCCCGAGATCACCCCAGTGCCACAAATTAACCGGGTAATTTTTTTTATCTTGGCAGGACGTTTTAAGCGTAAAGTTTCAAGCTGGTACTTACAATTTGCTCGCAATGAATTGTTCTTAACAGAGATCGAAATGTATCCCTCGGAACGTATCACACTTGATGGCATGGAACAATGAAAAGGAAACCAAGCTTGCACGTCTGAGAGACACCGAGACAGCCAAACAGGAGGCAAATTGTATAGGGAAGCCCTCTATCAGTAAACACTCAGTCGAGATCTTCTCGAAAAGACAAGATGACGTTGCGCTCTGCAAAGTGGAAGATCGATTGCATTTGCTTGGACTTATCTATCAGTACCAGCAAGAAGAGCGAAAACGAGCTGAAGAGAGAGATGCAAGCTCGAGTGTGCAACCTCGGTTGGCGCCTCATTCAGCGAATGTTCAGCGTAGGAGGCGCTTTTCAGTCCATGAACGTCTCTATCAGTTGTCAAAGCGAAAATTGGCCACATCAGATAACAACGATAGTGAACACTGCACAGGGGAAAGCACAGCTCGACGAAGACGGGAACGAAATACGAACAGCAAAACCATTGTAGACACGGCACAGCGACTACATGCTTTGGATAAGCAATATAAGCAGAAACAAATGCTTCTGCGTGAAGAGCGGAAGCGATATTTCGACGATTTACGGGTAAGATTCCTAGCTAGAGACGAAATTCTGATTCCGCCCGATAACGAAATGCCGTCTTTGTTCAATATTACTCACCAGGCAGCACCAAAGATGAACGCTCGAAGCCGCATGCTCGCTGCCAAGAAGAAGAAAATCCCTACACCGAAAAGCCCTCTCCGGTGTGGCTGCTGCGGAGGGAAGGAGAATAAGGAGGGGAAATGTTGCTGCACGATCGAGCCGCGAGTTAACCAAAAGCGTGCTGCTGACATTTATGATCGGCAGCTAAAGTGGAAAAATGCCAACGAGGCCAGACGCTCCCATCAAAAACAGCTACAGGATACGCTATCGATGATGGAGTGTACATTCCGGAATCCATTTTACCGGAAGGCATGGAACACCCTCGACGACAGACAGAGGCAATCAACCGAAAAGGAAACCACAGAGGCCAGCGCTGCATTCTTCAATCGATGTATGATCTGGGCCGAAAAGAGAAACCAGCAAGTAGCTCAAGAGAAGAAAGTAATTGACGAGAAGCGGCTGGAAGAATGCACCTTTAAGCCGCGAGTCATTAGACGAACACCAAAATACTTGGCACCCAAGCACATACAGTCGAATCAGCAGGACGAAGCTGATCCTTCTTCAAGCCAATCGTCTAGCCCATCGCATATCCCTAACTTCTCGATGACACCATCGCCAGAGAGACGTGATCTTGCCACGGAAGAGCTTATGACTCAACTGTACAGTGCATTGGACCTTCAGGCGTTGGTGGGCGAGCTGACGCCCCAGCACAATTCCATTGGCTCTGACGACGAAGGAGCGCACGGCTTTCCGAAGTATACGTTCACAGACCTTGGCGAGTTCGCTGGGCGGTAGTCCGCCGTTGCGATCGCAGCCTCCAGCTCGTACTAGAGTGCGCTCAACAAGCTGTCGTGCAGCAATCTACATGTATCCGTTGCGTGAAATTCCTCAGATTTGCCGAGTCAAGTATGATCCGGATAAATAGATGATTTATCCGGAATAATGATTTTGCCCAATGATCTATCGCAATCTTGGATCTTTTTCTCCAATAGCAGAGCTCAATATTTCTACCAAGAAACTCCCCCCTTTTGCTGCCCGCCTCCCAGTCCTTTCACTTGCTAACTCTCCGCTTGGTGGTGAAAGCGCAGTCGAGCGAAGAGTGTTGGTCAGGGAAGCCAGGCTCTCATTTGCAGCGACAGCTCGCCTTCCCTTCAACTTCTGGCCGCTCTAGGCCCTAAGCAGCAGAGAGAAACACAGCAATCAAGCACTCATGTCCTCTACGCAGTTCTCGTACTCGAGCGCGCGCTTGCGCCGCGTCAAGTACCTGCAATTCGGCGTGTTCAGCCCCGAGGAGATCCGCGCCATGTCTGTGACCAAGCAGACGAAGGTCAACGACCGCATCATCCCCGACGGCATCTCACGCCCAGAAACGTACCTAAACGGACACCCGGTCATCGGCGGCATTGGAGACCCGCGCATGGGCACGTGTGACTTCCGCGCGCGCTGCAAGACCTGTGATTGTACGTGACGGATACAGCAGTCGTGATAGATAGAGTGAAGAGATTCTCTCTTCCTTCCCTCCTCAAGGGACATATGTATCTTGAGCTTAGTTCTCATGGTTTTTGTTGTGTACAGGCACATACAGCGGCAGTGGAGGCAAGGTGAACGACTGTCCCGGCCACTTTGGCCACATTGAGCTGGCCCGACCCATGTACCACATGGGTTTTATTAAAGAAGTACTCAAGATCCTACGCTCTGTGTGCTTCCACTGTTCCAAGGTTCTGAGCGACGAACGTGACCACCGCTTCCGGTCGGCCATGAAGATCAAGAACGGCAAGCGTCGACTGAAGGCTGTGTACGAGATTTGCAGCAACAAGAGCATGTGTGAGTACGGTGAGGAAGCTGACATGGAGAAGATGCGCGAGGATCTCAACATCGGTCTTCAGGGCGGACTGGACGACAAGTCCAAGCCCAAGGAGGGTGGCCACGGAGGTTGTGGTGGTCTGCAGCCCAAGTACCGTAAACAGGGCATCAAATTGCTGGTGGAATTCCCTGAGCAGATGGAAGACGTGCCCGGATCGGGCGATCGCAAACAGAATCTGCCGGCAGCGAAGGTGTTGTCGATCTTCAAGAACATTTCGGATGAGGACTGCTTCGCTCTTGGACTGGACCCGCGCTGGGCTCGTCCTGACTGGCTCATTATGACTCTTATGCCTGTTCCGCCTCCGCACGTCCGTCCATCGGTAGCTATTGACGGTATGGCGCGTGGTGAAGACGATCTGACGCACAACTTAGCGTCTATTGTGAAGGCGAACTTGGCGTTGCTAAACTGCGTGCGCAAGGGTGAACCGTCACATATTATCGAGCAGTTCGAGCAGCTGTTGCAGTTCCATTTGGCGACTTTCCTCAACAACGAGCAGCCTGGTCTCCCGCAAGCTCAGCAGCGTTCCGGAAAGCCGCTTAAAACACTGCGGCAGCGTCTGCGTGGTAAGGAAGGTCGTATCCGTGGTAACCTGATGGGTAAGCGTGTGGATTTCTCGGCGCGTACGGTCATTACCGCTGATCCGAACCTGGCTATTGATCAAGTCGGCGTTCCTCGATCCATCGCAATGAATCTCACGGTACCGGAACGTGTGACCCCGTTCAATATGAACTACATGCATCAGCTGATTGCAAATGGCCCGCTGGAGCATCCGGGTGCCAAGTATATTATTCGTGAAGACGGCAACCGAATTGATTTGCGTTACATCAAGAACAAGTCGGATCTTGCGCTTAAGTGCGGGTGGATTGTGGAGCGTCATCTTCGTGATGATGATTTGGTGCTGTTCAACCGTCAGCCTTCGTTGCACAAAATGTCCATTATGTCGCATCGCGTCAAGGTGTTTGACTGGTCGACGTTCCGTCTGAACCTGTCCGTGACATCGCCGTACAACGCCGATTTCGATGGTGATGAAATGAACTTGCACGTGCCGCAGTCCATGACTGCTCGTGCTGATGCACAGGAACTGATGATGGTGCACAAGGTGATTATTACCCCGCAGAGCAACCGTCCCGTCATGGGTATTGTGCAGGATTCACTGCTGGGTGCACAGAAGTTCACGAAGCGAGACATCTTCCTGCACAAGGATTGGGTCATGAATTTGCTCATGTGGGTTTCCAATTGGGATGGTAAGGTCCCAACGCCTGCCATTTTGGTACCAAAGAAGGGAGAGTTGGGCAAGTACACGCCGATCTGGACAGGAAAGCAGATCTTCTCGGCGATTATCCCGGCGATTAACTTCACTGGGTTTTCGTCGACGCATAAAAGTAGTGAGAAGTTCTCGGACCTGTCTCCTATTGACTCGCGCGTGATTATTCAGCAGGGTGAGCTGTTGGCTGGTATTATTGACAAGAAGATCATTGGTTCTTCTGCCGGTGGTTTGGTGCATATCACGATGCTTGAGAAGGGTCCCGATGAAACAAAGCGTCTCCTGGGTGCTATTCAGCAGCTGGTGAACAACTGGTTGGTTGGCCGTAGTTTCACTGTCGGTGTGAGTGACACGATTGCCGATGTGTCTACGCTGAAGACTATTGTGGATATTATTACTCAGGCCAAGGTGCAAGTGCACGATTTGGTGGTGCGTGGGCAGAAGGGAAAACTGGAAACCCAGCCTGGCCGAACGATGGTCGAGTCGTTTGAAGGTCTGGTCAATATTGTACTGAACACTGCTCGTGATCAGGCAGGTCGTGAGGCGCAGGGCAGTCTGGATGAGACAAACAACATTAAGGCTACGGTGACGTCCGGTTCCAAGGGTTCGTTCATTAATATCTCCCAGATTATCGCTTGTGTGGGTCAGCAGAACGTTGAAGGTAAGCGAATCCCGTACGGTTTCAACCATCGTACACTGCCACACTATGGCAAGGATGACCTGGGTCCCGAGAGTCGTGGTTTCGTGGAAAACTCGTACCTGAAGGGTTTGACGCCGCAAGAGTTTTTCTTCCACGCTATGGGTGGTCGTGAAGGTCTGATTGATACAGCTGTGAAGACGGCCGAGACTGGATACATCCAGCGTCGACTTGTCAAGGCAATGGAATCGGTCATGACTCGCTATGATGGCACAGTTCGAAACGCTCAAGGCGAAATTATCCAGTTCTTGTATGGTGAGGACGGTATGGATGCCGTTTGGGTAGAGAAGCAGCGATTCGAGTCGCACAAGCTGAACAAGGTGCATTTTGAGAAGAAATACGTCTTCGACCCATCGGACGAAGACCTTGGCTGTGTGCCGAACTGCCCCGACCAGCTTTATCTCGAACCCGATATCATCAAGGATATCCGGACGAACCAGCGGACACAGCAACTTTTGCGAGAAGAGCTGACGCAGCTTCAGAAGGATCGTGTGAACCTGCGTGTCATTTTGGCAAGTCGTGGTCAGGGACAGGAGTCCGATAACGCTGCCCAGATTCCCGTGAATATTCGTCGACTGGTGGAGAATGCTCAGCAGTTGTTCAGTATCGACATGCGGAAGCCGTCAAGTCTCCACCCGTCCCGCATTATTGAAGGAGTGAAGGAACTGTGCAAGAAGATTATCGTTGTGCAAGGTGATGATCGATTGAGTATTGAGGCTCAGGAGAATGCCACACTGTTCTTCCAGATTCTGTTGCGGTCAACGCTTGCCTCCAAGTGCGTTACACTTGAACATCGTTTGACGGAGACGGCATTCGAGTGGCTTATGGGTGAAATTGAGTCCAAGTTTACGAGCGCATTGGTGTCTGCTGGTGAGATGGCGGGTGTCGTGGGAGCGCAGTCGATTGGTGAGCCGGCGACACAGATGACGCTGAACACATTCCACTACGCCGGTGTGTCTGCTAAGAATGTAACACTCGGTGTGCCTCGCCTGAAAGAAATTATGAACATCGCGAAGGACGTCCGAACCCCATCGCTGCGTATTTTCCTGACGCCTGATTGCGCTCATGATGCCGATAAGGCCAAGTTTATTCAGTCGCAACTAGAGTACACGACACTGGCAGACGTGACGGCTAACACCTCGATCTACTATGATCCCGATCCGATGAACACAGTAGTCGAAGAGGATCAGGAGTTCGTGGCTTCGTACTACGAAATGCCCGACGAGGACACGCCGATCGCTCGTTCTCCGTGGCTTCTGCGTATTGAGCTGAACCCGAAGATGATGGCAGACAAGAAGCTGACGATGGGTGAAATCGCTGCGCAAGTGGAAGCCGAGTACGGACAGGACCTTTCGTGTATCTTTACGGATGATAATGCTGATCGTCTGGTGCTACGTATCCGTATTATGAGCGATGAAGAAGAGAAGCTGCAGCGCTCGGGTGAGACTGCGGTTGGACAGGAAGACGATACGTTCCTCAAGCGTGTCGAGCACAATATGCTCACGCAGATGAAGCTGCGCGGTATTGAGGGTGTGAAGAAGGTGTACATTCGTGAAGGTCCGTCGACGCACTGGTTCGACGACGTTGGTTTCAAGATGATGAACGAGTGGATGCTGGACACAGACGGCACGAACCTGCTTGATGTAATGTGCTACCCCCAGGTCGACTCCACGCGTACGATCTCGAACGACATTGTTGAAATTATCCAGGTGTTGGGTATTGAGGCTGTTCGTCGCGCACTGCTGAACGAAATCCGACAAGTCATTTCTTTTGATGGTGCCTATGTGAACTACCGACATCTAGCGTGTTTGTGTGATGTGATGACATTCCGTGGTCACCTTATGGCCATCACACGTCACGGTATTAACCGTGATGACTCTGGTCCGCTTGTCCGCTGTTCGTTTGAAGAGACGGTGGAGATTCTGATGGATGCGGCCATGTTCTCGGAGGGAGATCCGCTTACAGGTGTGTCAGAAAATGTCATGCTGGGTCAATTGGCTCCTCTCGGTACAGGTATCATGGATCTGGTGCTTGATGCGAAGAAACTCGCGAATGCAATCGAGTACGAAGCGTCGGAGATTCAGCAGGTGATGCAAGGCCTCGATAACGAATGGAGAAGTCCGGACCAGGGTCCAGGCACGCCGATGGCGACTCCTTTCGCCTCAACGCCCGGTTTCTCGGCGTCGTCACCGTTCAGCCCCGGTGGCGGCTCGTTCTCGCCAGCAGCTGGTGCTTTCTCGCCAATGGCGAGCCCGGCATCCCCTGGTTTTATGGCGGCGTCACCTGCGCACAGCCCTGCTTCTCCGTTGAACCCGACGTCGCCTGCATACAGCCCCATGTCGCCAGCTTATAGTCCGACGTCTCCGGCATACTCGCCGACGTCCCCGGCCTACAGCCCGACGTCTCCTGCGTATAGTCCGACTTCGCCTGCTTACTCGCCGACGTCGCCAGCTTACAGCCCCACGTCTCCTGCGTATTCTCCGACGTCTCCAGCGTACAGCCCGACTTCGCCAGCATACTCACCGACGTCGCCAGCTTACTCGCCGACTTCTCCGGCCTACAGTCCGACTTCGCCAGCATACTCGCCGACATCTCCTGCGTACAGCCCGACGTCCCCAGCGTACTCACCGACGTCGCCTGCATACAGCCCAACGTCGCCCGCATACAGTCCGACTTCACCTGCGTACTCGCCAACGTCCCCTGCCTACAGTCCGACATCCCCAGCATACAGTCCGACCAGTCCAGCGTACAGTCCCACTTCTCCGGCCTACACGCCTGCGTATTCGCCTACATCCCCGGCGTACAGTCCGACATCACCGGCATATTCGCCTACGTCGCCTGCTTACTCGCCGACATCACCAGCGTACTCGCCGACGTCGCCAGCATACTCACCGACATCGCCGGCGTACAGTCCAACGTCCCCAGCGTACTCACCGACTTCTCCAGCGTACAGCCCGACGTCGCCCAGCTACAGTCCTGCTTCCCCCGAGTACAACCCGACGGAGGGGGGCTACAATCCGACTGCGAGCGGCTACAGCCCAACGGATGCCGATGAGAAGAAGGAAGAGGATTCAAAGTAAGCAACATTCTACTTTCAGGTGACAGTGAAGAGCCCAACATGCATATGTATACGTCGCCAAAAACGATAAAAGAGAAACAAGCAAAGCATTGACACTTCTTGTTTTGGTTTTAGTCTTCTCTTGGGTCTATTCGCTCAGAGCAATGAGGGCCATGAGTCCAATGCCCGCACACATGGCACCTGCCTCCTTGAGCGACTGAGTGAGGGAGCAGTCCTCCAGTAGCTCTGGCATAACGCTGGTACATGCAATGTAGATAAAGCCACCTGCCGTGAACGGCGAGATCCATACAGAGCTCGAGTCCCCGGCACCTTCCATGAGCAGACCGATGACTGTGCCAATCATCGCTCCAATGGCAGTCAACAATTGCGTGATCATAGCTTCACGCCGCGTGAAACCAGACTGGATGAGGATAGCGAAGTCGCCGATCTCGTGGGGCAGCTCATGCAGTAGCATCGCCACCGTTGTGGTCCAGCCGGTGCCACGCAGGAAAGTGGCGCCGATAGCTAGACCGTCCGTGAAGTTGTGCGAGAAGTCCGCGGCCAAATTGAGGTAACCTGCAGCGGCAATGGGCTTCTTATCCGGTTGTTTGGGCATGATCGGTTCCTCTTCGGGCATTTCTGCATCGTCCTTGCCTTCCTTGAAGACGGTTCGCTTCCTTGCCGTAGTTGTCTTGCTGGATACCGGAGATGCTCCACCATCCTGCACGGACGCCGAAGGATGAGCGTGTCCATGAGAATGTCCATGGCCGCCTCCAGTCTGTGCTCGCACAAACTTCTCCAGCATGAAGAAAGTCAACATTCCAGCGAGTGTCCAGAGCCATACGTAGAGATCCGCCATGGAATGCGAGTGTCCCTCATGGTCGTGGTCGTGGCCTTCATGGTCGTGGGAATGACCCGCACTCTCGGGAAGAGAATGCGGCAGTAGATGCAGTAGTGCGTCACCCAGTAGTCCACCAGCTGCAAAGCTTAGGAAGACGCGTAGCAGTGGTTGTTGCTTCTCCTGGTTCCCGACGCCCAGCGGCACCACGAGCAGCACTAGCACAGGCGCGGCGCCTACCAGGGCAGTGGCGAACAGCGCTTGCCCCCATACAATGGGCGAGAATCTATCTGTATTGGGTTTGGTGGTCTTCTCATGGTCATGGTCGTGGTGGTTGTGGTCATGGTCATGGCCGCCGTGCTGGGCGTGGACGTTGACAGGCTCACTCTCAAGGTGCTCTTGGCCCCGAACAGCGGGCGTCACGGGCGTCGAGGCATCTTCTGCAGTCGAGAGGAGCGCAATAGCCAGCAGGGCCACGGCCAGCAATAGCAGACGGAGACGTGGTTGATCCCCCATCGAGTCAGAAGATGAAGTGCTGACATGGTGATACAGGTTCAGGATTGGATGAAATTACATCACCATTTAACCAATTGAACGGTGCCAATAGTGTAGCCATATCCACGATGAGTATTTAAGGCAACAATTTGGTTAGATCCGGACGCCGTCACTAAGTCGCTGACACAAAAGCTTGCTTGCTTTGGTGTTTCGGTAGTTGCGAGACGTTGCGTGTACGCTCATCACGGTGACGCCGTTCGCGTTGAAATTGCAGCAGGCAAAGTAAGCATGAGGATAACATGGGGATGCTGCTGGAGAAATTCAGGTGTATTGTGCAGCAATGTATGTATATAACGAAGGCGCAGTCCGCCACGAGACAGTAAAATACGCTGTGTCTGTTTTGCTGATACCGTCGTAATCGCAGTTGTGGGTATTAGCAGAAATGCCTCACGCTCTGATCTTGGCACTCTGGACATTGTTTGGACACTGTCGAGTTTCTTCCATTGCAATAGCGGCGCAATGACGATTCTCTTCGGTGATATACGTACTAGTACTGAGCTGAGTAAGTTTGTCCAATACATGTACTGCAGACGAATATGGGGGCGGATGGCACTCAGCGGCGTGCAGCACATCCGAAAACAATACGTGTGGTGCCTTGTAAACCGCATGTGACCAGCCTGTTGGAGTTGAGGTGGAGATGCACTGTACATTTTGTACCGCTTGCCAAGACGAGCAGAGTGTCCACAAGCTGTAGCGATCTCACCGATATCGACAAGTGCTGCAGAGCTTGTTCTGCTGTTCCGACCCCGACTTACTGACAACAAGTTGCCGAGCGTAGACTTGCATCCTGAGACCAATACAGCAAAAGGGCAGTGCACATGATGTGGAGCGCGTCACGGCTGTTTGCCATTGACAGGACCGGTGTCACGGTTGCCGAGGTCGCCGCAGCGATACACGTCGCCCTCTGCTACAGCGCCACGTACACGATTAATACAATTCTTTGCGCAATCAGGACGCCTTGCCGACAGCGTTGAAAGGCGAAGCTTGCCGATGGCCCTGCAGGCAACGGCAGTGGCAGCTCTACGGCGACAGTTCCTGGACGACTTGGCAGCTTTGTTTGGCGTTGACGCACCCGAGCTGATGGCTCTGGAGCTCCATGCACGGGGGATAACCCGGAGTAATCTGCCAAGTTGCAGCTCCACCGTTGGGGACACTCTTTGGGGACACTCGCGATGATGATGGCTCCGGCTGGCGGACTGAATCTGCGGCCGAGAACTTTTTGGAGAAGCGCACCGCAAAAAATATCGTCGTGGTTTAACGCCACACGCCCAGTCTCACCACACCGACGCCGCTCGGGCAAGCAAACTAAGGTTGAAGTTGAGATGCAAGCGGATCCGGTCACACCGCTTCGCTGTTACTAGTACATGTAGATGTACTAAAATACTGCTGCTGCTGCTTGCAGACTGCAGTTTTGTCGGCGCGAGCAGCAATGCTGTCGTGGTTCCGCTCGGATTTGGCCTCAGGGACCCGGAGATGAGCCTCCCACGGTCTCCGCAATAGACGGTTCCGACGCCTTGCGGTTCCACGCGGGTGTCTATGAAGACTGAACGCTTCGTTAAGCTCGATGAATGCATTGGTTGCAGCGTTGCGGCCATGCTCGTAAGGGTTTATTTGGTCTTCTGCTGGACTGCAGCGGCAACGGCAACCGGTAGACACCCGAGCCAATGTGCAAAGCGGCCAGCTCGATCATCATGGCGATGAAAGTATTTCGCAACGCCGGCCAAGTCACAGACATCCGGATCTTAGGCGGCGTGGCCGGGCCATCATCGGAGTCGACGAATTGATCCTCACGCGACGTACCCATCCGTACGAAAAGTTGGACGCCGCTCGCTTGCCGCCAGCTGTCTCCACTGCCACTCGCCCACATCAGACCGAGCAGTACTCGGATCGGATCATCATTTCTCGTTTGACCTCGTCGCGCCCGGGTCGATCAGCGTGAGTCAACAGTTCAACACCACCGCCGCCGCCACCATGATGTCGCTGCTCGCCCAGCCATTCTCGCCTCGCACCAACAGCTCGTTGGTCTTCAGCTCCTACGAAGGAGTCGCCGCCATGGCGCCGCCAGCCTCATCGCAGACATCCACGCCCACCGCCAAGGACCGGCCGTTCGTGTGCGAAGAGCCCGGTTGCGGTCGCCGCTTTAACCGCAAATTCACGCTCAGCGAACATAAGAAAACGCACACAGGAGAGAAGCCGTACGTGTGCCCGCTGGTTGAATGCAGCCGGCGCTTCAGCACGTCCGGCAACCTAGCGCGCCATAAGCGCCTGCACGCTTCGCTTAAGCCCTTCGAGTGCGACATCAACGGCTGCAAGCGCTCGTTCCCCAGTCAAGAAAAGCTCGATCACCACATTAAAATCCACACCGGCCGGAGGACCCACATGTGCCGCGTACCCGGATGTACAAAGACTTTCAGTACGGCCGGCAACCTCACGCGCCACACCAAGAACCGGCACCCGGAACTGATCCGGAGCACGTTTCCGGCGTATCCGTACGCCCGTGCGAGCCCCGTGAACCGGCCAGTGCCGTCGTCACACTTCATGACGGCCGATAATATCGCCCAGGCCCCGTCACCTCACATGATCCCGGCTACCGAGCCGGTAACCAAAATGGAGCCGGTGCCGGTGTACTCACCCGACTCGGTGGAGTTGGCGTCATTTCAAGACGAGCTATCAGCCTTCCAAATGGCTTGCGAGCCACCGATGCAGCCCTACATTACAAGAGCTCCACGGGATATGGCTGCTGCTACAATGGTGGAATCTGGCGTGAGCGACATCGCCCGCTGCAGTATGAGCGTGCTAGACGAGGTGATCGAGTTCGAGCTGACGAAGAACGTCTGAGTTGTATAGGCTATTATTCCCCCCGTAATATTGATATAGTACATGTAGACTTTGATCCTTTGCCACTACCATCACCACCATCCATGTTTTACTCCATGTTTGCTAACGACCGATGCCCTCTTATTCGTGACGAGGCTTGGATTCCGAGTCGGCCGCCACCACGATCAATCGGGCGACCAACCAACCGATGCACCGGTAGACCGACACGTCAATCCTTGTTTCGCGTGCATCCACTTCAACCACGATGCAGCACGAGGCCCCGCTATGGCACGTTTGGCGGACACCGCCGGCATCGCATGGGCTGTACTGCAACGTACCTGCGCTTGAACTACAAGGGCGTGGGAACGATCAAATCGAAGTCAAGCTCTTTCTGCGCAGGTGGTGTCTTGCTCTTTTCCTCGACTTCAAGTTGCTCCTCAAGCTCAGGGGTATTGGAGGTGCCCCACCAAACTCTTGCACCAGAATCCAGACACGTAATACGGGCAAGTGGTTGTTGCAGCTGTTGACGCAAGGGAGACGAGCGTCGGTGTGAGCTAGTAGCCTCGTCTCTTTAAGATCGACCGGAGTCACGCTCTGATCCATAGGTGCCAAGTTCGCTGTGTTTGTCAGCCTGCCTGCCAGCCAGCCAACAAGCGAGCGAGCGCGCAGTTACTGCGGCAGTACGTGTATCGAATCCTGGCGTCACGCAGGCCAGGTGCGTCGGGCAGGACAGGTGCTTCGAGGGCGGAGACAAGTTCAACTTCATGATGTCGTGCGCTGCTACTGCAGGGATCTCGCTTCGAGTCGAGGGTCCCGCGGCCTGAATCATGTTAAACGAATGCACGTGGAGAACAGGTGCAGGTGTACAGCCCTTTGTAGCGTACGTGAACATGTAGAGGGCTGATTTTGCTGCGCGAGAGGCTTCCGGTGCGAAGTTGAAGGGACGGGCTGGTTGCAAATCCTGCTCGCCCGAACTTCAAATTGACAGGACCAGGGCGTTAGTCGTCGGAGCGCTATTACGGCAAGCCCACCAGCCGATGGAGTAACACACCCGTGCCGGCGTCACGCTGGCAGCGCGATCCGTGTATCTCAGGACAGGCTGGTGTCGAGTTGGAGGCAGAACTCGCTCCTGCTGATGGCTATTTCGGCGAAGCTCAAGACTGCATGTCGGTACGGTAGCTGCAGTACAAGTAGTATGGTCTCTTTGTCACCCTTCAGTTCATTCTGCTCTACAGTGTTTACCGTACGGCGCGATACCCGATGCGCTATCCAATTTGGGTTCCAAGCTGGTAAAAGAGCTTCTCGCGTCGCCGCATTGCACGCGTCTGCCATCACAGGAATAGTCTTCCTCAAGAAGTCCCTTTGTAGGGGGTTAACCCAATTTCAAGAGTTATCCTGCCAGGTTGCAGTGCGACTCGCACTGCGAGCTGCCTCCTCCTCCTGAGGCTCAGGAGGCCCTCCTGTACGCCTGGTCACATGAGAGACAAGTCGAATAAGCGCATCGCGTCTTGGATGTGCTGCACTCCAAATGTGCCTATCAGACTTGCCTGGACCCCTAAAAAGCCGCTCACAAAAAATTTCAATCGCCTTCTTGCTGCGTTTTGGTTCAGTCCGATTTTGGTCGAGAACAAGCACGGCAAAGCTGATGCAGCGCGCATTTGCCAGACCCAACAAGCTCTAAGCGATATGCCGCCGACCCCAAGCAGAGACTACTGGTACAGTAGAGTTGACATGAGGTCTGATACTGTTGTGCAGCAAATTAGTCCGACGTAGCGGCGCTGCTAAGGATGTGATGCGATGCACATGTACCGCCGACCTTCAGAAGTCGCCACTAAGCGACTGATAAGTCGCTTGATCGTCGCGATTTGTGCGAGTGTGATGCATATGGGGATGCCCATCGCTGCGTTAAATGGGCCACGTTATCCTAAATACACGACGACTGTGGAGGTGGCGGCCAAGTTTTGTCGAAGCCGTAGAGGTGCCGTGTAGCGTGTTGTGTATGCTATCCTATACCTAGCATTGCTAGGTATGGCATCGAGGGTGATGAGGGATACTAGTATGCAACGGGCGGCATTGAGCCGTCAGGCTATATAGTCGAGTGGTGCGAGAACTGAAGCGACCAAAGTGTTCTACGCGCTGCAACCGAAGACGAATAGCCGGCGTGGCGTGGCCATACGGGTGGCGATGAGCGCGGATCTTGGTGACTTATGAGATGCTATGGGCGATCTAGCTGGCGATAAGAACCTCGCACTCCCCGGAGAGGGACGAAAAAGAATTTCCTAGCATCGTCACCGGCTGCTATATATCGTTTAAAGGAATATAGCAGTCGATGACAGTGCCATTAATAAGTAAAGCACAAACGCAGGCGATATCTCTCTAGCCTTTAACTCTGTAACTTACAATAATCGGGTATCCGTTAAGTTTTTGTTGTTTCGGAATGAGCACTGAACTACTAGTAGTATATTTTTCTGAAGATTTTCAAGTTTATTCAGATTTGAAGAATCTTAGAAATCCTTGTAGAATTGATCTCAAAATAACATTTCCTCGTAGCATTCCCCCGGCTATAAACATGGCGCAAGCTTTTGCCTTAAATGGGCGGCTCTCTTTCCTGTTGCGCTCCGTTCTAGAAGGGAGTGTTGAGGTCACAAAAGAAACGAAGAGTTGATCAAATGTAAGGGGAA